AGAACCTTAATAATTTGTTGTTGGTACATATGTATTTTAATTTTCATGTACCTGAACTGGTCAACCTTATCATCAATTAATTAGTAATTCCTCTTATTACTTCCATTGTCTGAAATCCTTTTTCTTCCAAAATGGATAAGTGCAACACCATTGTTTTATTTTATATATGTGTACCTATATACACACACGTGTATATATGCGTCTATATGTGTGCTACATTTAACTAAAAAATTAATTATTTTAGTTATTGAAGTGAGTTATCAATCTAAACATTAGACTCCAAGGTTATTTTCCTCATATTAATTGTCACTTTCCCCCCAAAGCATATATTGAATAATTTTGTATTTCTTTGTTTATAATAGATTAAATACACATTAATTTAGAGAATATTTGTTTTATCTCCCTGGCCTAATTTTTGGTTAGACCATATTGATAACTACTGTTCCTTAATAAGGCATTTTCATGTGTGGTAAGGCCACTTCTCCAGCATTACCTTCATTATAAAAGTATACTTTTGGTCTCCGGTCAGGGCACATACAAGAGGCAACCAACGAATGCATAAATGGGTGGACCAGCAAATTGATGTTCATCTCTCCTTCTCCAAAATCAGTAATTTTTATATATATGTATATATGCATATATATCACATATATTTTACTTGTTACATTGTCATTTTTTAAAAGTGACCCATTGGGACTATAATGATATCGCTTAAATCTATTAATTAACTTGAACAATATTTTAATCTTTACTATTTCAAATTTCTGGTCAACAGGAGAGCATATATTTCCATTTTTTCACCCAAAGTCATATGATTACAAACTTAAGAGAGTTTAGATACCATTCAGGTTCTAGTCCTAAGCCACCCTTCCCTGCACACATGCCATTTTATAAATGACCTACCACAGGCCCAGAGACAGATGGTCAGACCAAGGCCCCCCAAACCCGCACCTGGTTAGAAGAATAGCTGAAAACAAAACCCAGCGCCTATCTCATGCTACACTTTTTCTATCACACCATCTACTCAAGTCTCCATTCACTGCCTTTAACACTTTAAAACTCCTTTTACAGATGTTAGGTATTTGCCAGTTGATTTATTTCTAGGAAGTTTCTAGATTGTAATAGAAAAAAAAATCATTGATATTGAACTTTGGGCATATCGTTTCTTCATACAGAGAGAAAATGTGAAGAACTTATTCCATTACATCATACTTTGCTGATTTTTTTTTTTCCTAGTAAGGAAAAGAAAATTGGCTTTTGAACTGATCTTATATTCTGGGTCACTCTATCTAATGTATTAAAGGATTTTATTATGAACAATTGTTTCTTGTGCACTTGTAGTCTGCGGTGAAGTATGTTAGATACACAAAGAGATAAAATTACAATCTTGCCTTTTCAAGAGATTCTCGATATCAAGAATTCAGGACACCAGATATAAAGTGCAACAGAAAATCCATATAGCAGTGGTTTAAAGAAAATATGGTTTTGTCTCTTATGGATGGGAATTCTGAAGGTAGGCTATGCAGGGTCATTATATTGGTTCCACGGTGTCATTAAGCACCCAAGCCCCTTCCTGACAGCTACTTCTTTAATATCAGAGTATGGGTCTCATTATCACATGTATCAGAAGGTTTCTAGCACTCTAGCCACCATAACTTCCAGGCATAAAGAAAAAGAATTGCCCCGGCCAGGTAGCTCATTTGGTTAGCGTTGTCCTGATGCACCAAGAGTGGGGCACATGCAAAAATCTATCAATGAATGCATAAGTAAGTGGAACAACAAATTGATGTCTGTCTCTCTCTCTGTGTCTCTCTGTCTCTGTCTCTCTCTTTTCCCCCGCCCCATCCCTTCCTCTCTCTCTCAAAATCAATAAATTAAAAAAATTACTTTTAAAAAAGAAAGAAAGGAAAAAAGAGGAAAGGGCCAGTGCTAATTGAATCAGGCCCACTTTAATTTTCCTGGAAACCTGGTGACATCTGCTTCTATCATTGCCCAGACTGTGTGAAATGACCAGCACTAACTGCAAGGGAGCTAGTTGGTGGGTGTTAACATTTAGCTAGGCACGCTGCGACCCTCAATAAAATAAAATATCTGCTTGTAAATAAAGAGAGGAAAATGGATATTGGGCAGGCAACCAGTACTGTCTCCTCCAATCAGTGTGTGAGACGGAAGGTAAAATGGAAAGCTGTGTGTTGTTCAGGCAGGCTAAGAGGATACAGCTAATTAGAGATTAATGCAGGGTCTTGACGGTTAAATTGGATTTAGACAAATGGTAGTGGGGGAGAACGTATCTGAACTGAGTCTTAGAACAATGTCACATGTTAAATTCATTTCTTGGTAATTGGGGAGTGAAGATGGATAGGTTAAACCTTGGCTGTTCCTTTATAGTTTCTAAATTTTAAATTTTAGGGGGACTTTACAGACTCTTCCACTAACTAGCAGTGTGCTACCTAACTTCCCTGGATCTGAATCAGTTTTTTTAATTACTCAGACATTAAACTAGACAGATGTTCCAAGAAAGTTAAAAAACAAAAACAAAAACACCGCAGACACTATCCCTCATGATCATAGAAGCAAAAATTCTAAGCAAAATTTTAATCCAGGAAATACAAAAACATATAAAATGGATAATAAAACAGATAAAGTAGGGGTTATGACAGGAATCCTAAATTGGTTTAACATTTGAAAACAATCAATAAAATAACAAGAAAAATATATTATCTTAATTGCTGCAGAAAAAGTATTTTTCTTTCTTTATATTGAATTTATTGGGGTGACACATTGGTTAATAAAATTAGATAGTTTTCAGGTATAAAATTTTATATTACACCATCTGTATATTGTATTATGTATTTACCACCCCAAGTCTTCTTCCATCACCATTTATCCCCCGTTTAGTAAAAAAAGCATTTAATAAAAATCCAACACCTCTTCCTGATAAAAACTTCTCAGCAGACTACAAATAGACATAAATTTCATTGATCTGATAGAGTATCTATGAAAAACCTATAGTTAACATCATACTGAATGTCAAAGACTTATTGCTTTCCATTTAAGATCTGGATGCTCATTCTCACCACTTCTACTCAAGATTGTATAGTTTCTAGACAGTTAATAAGGAAAAAAAAAAAGGAAGAAATCAAAGGTACCTGCATTGGAAAGGAAAACAGAAATTCTTTTTGTTGATGACAGATAATATGCTTGTCTATGTAGAAAATCTAATAAAGTCTATAAATATGTTACTAGAACATACAAATATACATACAAGAAGTAAACAATCAAAAATTGAAATTAATGCAATAGTATCAAAAATATGAAATATTTCAGGATAAATATGTCAAAAGATGTGTAAAATCTATAAACTGAAAACTATAAAATGCTGCTGAAAAAAATTGAAGAAGGCCTAAACAAACTGAGAGACATATTCTATACATGGGCCAGAAAATTCAAATATTATTAGGTTATCAATCCTCGCCAAATTTATGAGTAGAGCCAATGAAATACCATTCAAAATTGTAGAAATTGATCTGTATCTGAAATTTATGTTGAAATACAAAAGATCTAAAATAGCCAAAACAACCTTGGGAAATCAGAGAAAAATGCAGCAGTGACACTCGCTGATTCCAAGTGTGATCATCAGAACATTATGGTACTAATATAAAGATAGACAAATCGATTTATAGAACATAATAGAACATCCAGAAATAGACCCACACATTGATGGAAAACTGATTATTGACAAATATTCAAAGGCAGTTCAGTGGAGAAGGGAAGACTTTTCAACAAATGGTGCTGGAACAATTGGATATTCACACGCAAAAATAAAAAACAAGAATACAAAATAAACATTTTTGGCTTATACAAAATTAACTCAAAATTAACCTAAATGTAAAACAAACAAAAGAAAAAGGCTATAAAACTTAGAATAAAACATAGGAAAAAAACTTGAGTTAGGCAAGAATTTCTTAAATATGGTTCCAAAAAGCATGATCTATAAAAGGAAAAAAAAAATACACTGGACTATATCAGAATGAAAAACTTCTGCTCTTCCTAAGACACTGTTAGGACATAGAAAAACCAAGCCACAGACTGTGAGAAAATCTTTGTAAAGTATATATTTGATAGAGGATTTGTATCCAGATATATAAAGAACTCATTAAGAAACAGCCCAATAATAAGTGAACAAAAGATCTGAACAGATGGTTCACCTAAGAGAATATATCCACTGCAGAAAAATGAAAATATTTCTGTAATCCCTTAAATTACACCTACCTTATGACCTGGCCATTCCATTTCCAGGTATTTACCCAACAGAAAAGAAAGCACATGTTCACACATAGATGTATACAGGAATGTTCCCAGAAGCTTTATTTCCAATGAGGGAAAATTGGAAGCAATATAAATACATGTCTAACAACAGGTGACTAGGTCAATGCATTGTGGCATATCCATAAATGGGATACTACTCAGCACTGACCAGGGATAGTTACACTAAAAAACATGAATGTGTTGAAATAATTATGCTGAGTGAAAGAAGTTAGGCAAAATTAAGTACATAGTGTGTGATTTCATTTATATTCAATCAAGAAAATAAGAACTGATTTATAGTTCCCTTTACATATAATTTTAGAAAATGTAAATGAACTACAAGAGACGAGTGTTTGGGTTCGGGAGAAGTGGAGTGGGCCTCGGTGGTGTGAGACCGGGCCAGGGGGCAGGGCGGGGTGGGGTGGGGAGCGGGGAGGGGGGGTGGGGGGGTGGTGGCCAGGTCGCGGGGGCCAGAAGGAGATGCAGGGAGAGGGGGAGGGTGTGACAGAGTACAGGAGAGGTCAAGGAGTCGCCCAGGAAAGCGGGTGGGGCGGAGCAAGAGTGGGTAGGAGAAAGGATGCGAGGGGTAGGCGTAGGTGGGAGGTGGGGCAGGAGAGTGGAGCTGGCCGCCGGAGGCGGGGCCGCAAGGGCGGGAGGGGAGGGAGGCGGGGCGGGCACGGTGGCGCGGCGGGGCGGGTCTGCGCGCGTCGGCGTCATGGCGCGTCTCCTTCGCGGCCCCTGGAGCCTCCTGTTCCGAAAGGCAGCCTCGCGGGCTATAGGGGGCAGACCAGTTAGCGGTGTCTTGGGCATCAGGGCCGGACATGGGGACGCAGGTAGGACGCGGGCCCCGCAGGCTCCGCTGCCGCTTCCCGTTTTTCGACTCTGTTTCCGTGGCTGCGACTTGGGTACCTGGGTGCTGGCCTGAACCCGGCTAGGACACTGGGTTGTAAACCTGGAGGGGCAGAAAGGGAGTCGGGGATAATTGGAGGACAGGTATAGATCCTCTTCCAGAACGTGCGCACATTTCTTTTTTCTTTGGCATAAAATTCTGGGCTCAGGAGCTCCTGATGCATATCCTGGGACTCCGGCTGAAGAACCGCGGTGGTGAATCAACAACGCGCGCTCTCCTGGGATGGCCCTTCGTCTTTTACCCTGTCCCTCTCCCGCCTCGCGCTGCCCTTCGAGTTCTTGTCGCGTCTGGAAGCAGGCAGTTCAGACTTGGAGTTCCTGTGGCTTGGCTTCCTGCCCTGCTCTATTTCTGTGATGTTTCCAGGACCCAGGGAAACACAGGCTAATAACCCGTCCCCCTTAAACTGATAATCATTGTTTGTCAGTCGCTGAGACCGGCAAGGGGAAAGTTTGTGTATGTTTTCGGCAAAATACCTCTGGCATCTCTGCCAGATTGGGTCACCTTCACATTTCACTCTTTAGTACAGAGCCCCCTGTATTTCAGATGTTTCAGGGTAATTTAGTGGCCCCTGAGGGTTGGCTTCCAGACTATCTCTGGATCCAGTTCTGTTCTGTGTTCATTGAAGACATTTAGAGATACCTAATGCTGCTGAAAATGTAGCCAGTCACTTGGAACTTTTTATTCCTGGAAGTTTTCAAAATGCAGTGTTAAATAGAAGCACCAGCATTATGGAGTAATAGCTGATCCAACAGGACTTCTGGTCATGGCCTTCAGAACCCCTTGGTGTCTCTAATTAGCCAATCTGATGATATTTGTTACCTGCCTCCAGTGTGCCAAGCTCTGGTTTGCTGATAACGTCACAATTGTTGGCTGGAGTGCTTTTCTTTCCCCTTTGTAGGCTAGTGGTTTCAGCAGAAACCTGTCCTTTATGAATGTACTTGCTGCTGCTGGAAAACAGCCTAATGAACTGCCCTTGAATCTGAAGTTTTTCGGAACATTAAAATTTGGCCAGACATCAACACATAACAAGAGTTGTGTAACTTATCAGACACCTCCTCCTGGGCATTTATCCTAAGAAAGTAATTCAAAGGAACAAAGCTATATGTGCAAAGATGTTTTTAAGAGCACTACTTTTAAGAACCAGAAACTGGCTATTCTGCAATGTCCATCAGTTAGGGAGTGCTTGCATAAACCATGAAAGTTCAATTCAACCAACTATTAGGCATCCATTGAAAATGATTAACAGGTAATTAAGGGCTTTGGCAGGGACAGTGTTACTTACTGGCTGTGTCTTTGGCACATCTTGAACTTGGTAAGCTTATATTTGTTTTCGTCTGTGAAATGTGGATAATGACAGTAGTAGTCTTGATACAGAATTAATGGGAAAAATAATTTGAAGTGCTTTATCACAATGATTGGCACTTAGTAAGCACACAATAAATGTTAGTTATACTTACATAAATAAATGGAAAAGACAAAGTGTAGTCTACATTTAACCCACATTGTAGACTTCGGGAAAGTTGGAGAAAAAGAGAAATTAGAAGATGTTGAAAGTAGGTGACAGAGGACCGTTCTCCAGCACTGAGACTTGTGATATGCAAGGGCAAGGCCTCTGTAATTTTGTCATCCAAAATGACAAAAAGCAAATTAAAGGGGAAAGGTAGAAGTATTTGGAAGAAGTAATCTGTTGTTTCAGGAAAACATTCTTTCTAGAGATACTCTGTTTGGACACCATCTGAGTAGAAGTTTAAAACAGTCCAGTCACTGTGGTGGGATAGAAGGTTCATTCTACAGATTAGAGTGGGCTGGGAATCTTTTTACCCCAGTTCCTAAATATATAAATGTGTAAATATAATGACATTTTGTAAACCCTCAACCAAGGGCAAAATGCTAAGAGCTGGCCAGTGCCAATGAGTCAGAGTGATCTAAGCCAGGGCTGGTCACACAAAGGCCACTCCAAAAGGTGAAATATCGGAAGGTGAGAGTAAAAACAGGCTTTGCTAGTTAGAATGACCTGTCAACATGTAATTATTGAAACGAGGTTTGCTCACATGTGACAATTGCGGAATGGCCACTGTGGCCAGAAAGGTTAGCAAAACCAGGAGGTGAGTGACCATATGAGCAAGAGTGTGTTTCATAAATATGAGAAAATCAAGGCCCACCCCATGAAACATATGACCAAGAAGAAATACAGTCTGTGCAAATCACACAGCCTAAAGAGAGAAAGGAGCCCTCAGGAATCTGAGTTTATCAAAGCACAGTTCAAGGTAGAGCTGTGTAGCCATCAAATGCAATAGCAGAAGCAGGTCAGACTTTTTGGTAGTGAAGACAGCAAGAAAATGCAGCGGGAATCTGAAAGACATGCAGTCAAAGTTCAGGTGATATGGACTGAGGAAAGAAAATATCTGCATGCACACACATACACACTAGAATGAGGAGACCAACCTGAATCCTGCTCTCCAGCCACTGGTAGCCAAGAGACAACTCATTCCCAAGTGAGACCTTTCTCTGTGTTGTATGTACATGCACCTAAATTGCTGTTTGGTAAAACTGCACAGAATTTACTCAATGCAATTTGCATTCAAACTTTTGTCATTTCCTAAAGCACAGCGTATTACTTTACTCAGGCTGCCATGACAGAATACCTTAGGCTGGGTGGCTAAGAAAACAAATGGATTTCCTCACAGCTCTAGAGGCTGCAGGTCCAAGATCAAAGTGTTGGGCAGGGTTGGTTTCCCCTGAGGCCTGTCTCTGTCCCTTGCAGATGGCCTTTTCTTTGTGCTTTCACATCCCTAGAGTCTCTTCCTCTTCATACAAAGTCAGATTGGCATAGAGCCCATCATCATGACCTCATTTGAACATAATCACCTCTTTAAAAGTCCTGTCTCCAAATATGGTTACATTAGGAGGTACGGAGGATTAGGACTTCAACATATGAATGGGGGGGGGGTGTGAACTGGGAGGGGCACAATTCAGCTCTTAACACCCAGCTTAAACCTCTTCAAGTGATGCAGATCACTTATATCCTGACCTGAGAGCACCCACTGACCACTTGTCATTTGGCTATCAAAGCAGAGTCTGTCTCCCCTTGACAAAGTCATCTAGGCAGGCATATTGGCAAGGACACATGTAATCCGTGCTGGAATTGGTGCTTCATCAACTAATCTTAACATTGATGCCCACCCATGAAACCTTTCACACACAATTATAATAGTGTAAAAGGTATATAGGTAAGGATTAGAAGAGCCATGAAAAATGTAGTTTCTTGTATTTAGATGAAGGAGTAATTATTTTGTTTAACAATTTAAGCAGATTTTAAACTAAAAACAATTTGAACAGAGGGAGAAGGTGGGTGTCTGGAAACAGGTAATCACTCTTTAATAGGTGTAGTGAATATAGAGCCAGGGACCAGGGAGCTGGGATTCATGCCTTATGTTCAAAGCTAAAGCATGGGAGTCCCATGGAATTTAGCCCTTCATGAATTCCCACTTTCTAGTGTCAGCTAGTACGTTGTACTGCATGTTGAAACACACCAAGGACAATACTTCCAGGAGACAATAGGTTTTTTCTCTCTCTAATCCCATTCCACTTCCTCCCTAAAAGGAGATAGGAAGATAATGGCAGCTTTAGGAACTATAACCCCCAACCTTACAACCAAAAGTCATCCTCCTCTTAGTTGGTCATAGAAACAATGCAATAATGCAAGATCCTTGCCAAAGCCAAGAATACGTGTGGAGTGACATGGCGGGACAGATATCTGAAGGAACAGGAGAGCTTTTATCACGGTGCTCTTTTGTTCCTTTCCTTGTTACATGTCACTAATAGCCAGGATTCAGATTTCACAAATTCCCCTTTAGAACAGAGTTCAGGTTATGGGAAGAGGAATCAAAGACAGGTCATTCTAACTAGCAGAGCCTGTTTTTACTCTCATCTTCCGATATTTCACCTTTTGGAGTGGCCTTTGTGTGACCAGCCCTGGCTTAGATCACTCTGATACATTGGCACTGGCCAGCTCTTAGCATTTTGCCCTTGGTTGAGGGTTTACAAAATGCCGTTATATTTATACATCTACCAGTCTTGTAAACTGCCTAAAATGGAATGCCTTCCTCTTCCCTTAGGCTTAAACAAATAGTTCACATCCATTAAAACTAGTTCTGATCCTACTTGCTCTTAAAACAGCAACAAAAACAACTCTACCTGATAACCCAGCCTAAAATGATTTAAAAATGTTTCTGTCATTCTGTTGGTAGTTTAGCTTGCATTACTTTGTAAAACTCCCTATTATCTTAAATAGTTATCTCATGCTTATGTGGTCAGTAAATTTTTCTCAGTTTAATTGGTTTCCATGTTTGGTGTACTTGAGGTCAAGTGTAGCTCCACAGTTCTCCCCTTTCTCTCCTAAATCATCAATTTATCCTCTCCACTGGATCAGTCCCATCAACATATTAGGGTACTGTGATTTTTCTCATGTCAAAAAATGCTTTTGATCTCACCTTTCTAGCTACCTCCAGAACTCCTCCAAAGACTGATCAGAGGTACCATCTGTCTTTCCCTTCTTTTCTCTTATTAAATCTATTCCAATCACATTCACCCCAACTCCTCTACCTAAACTGCTCTTCTCTGGGTCTATCAGTCATCTCACTTGAGTTTTCAACACAGTAGATTATTCCATTTTCCTTAAAATTCTTCGCGCCCAGGACAGTGCATTCTTTCGGTTTCCTTCCCATCTCTGCTCCTCCCCATAGATCAGCAGGTATGTTTAGAGTGCCTCAAAATCAAGCCTCTGGGCCTCTGTTTTGACTACACTCACTGACTTGGGGATTGTCCAGTCTTGTGGCTTTAAATACATCTCAATGCGGAGGAGTCCCAAATTTACATCTCTCCCTTGGGCCTCTCCCTGAACTCTTAAGCCCATATATCTGA